AAAATTGTGTAACTTTGGCTTTTCTGATTCTCTCATTAAGCTAATTGGTTCTTATTTGTGTAGTAGATTACAGCGTTTCAAATATCAAGGTCATGAGTCGATAATTACTGTTGTACCCTCTGGTGTGCCTCAAGGCTCAGTATTGGGACCTCTGTTGTTTGTCATATACATCAATGATATCGTTAAGAACATTAAGTCAAATGTTTTAATTTATGCTGATGACTTAAAAATTTACAGACAAATTACATCAGTTGAAGATTGTATTATTTTGCAGAATGATCTTGATATTTTTCTAAGCTATAGTTCTTCCCATTTCCTTCCTGTAAATTACAGTAAATGCAAAATCTTGTCCATCACTAATAAAAGCATGCAAATAATGTTTAATTATAGCTTAAGCAATTCACTTATAACCAGAGTGGAGACACATTATGATTTAGGAGTCTTCTTTAATTCCAAATTGACATTTGAGAATCATATTAGCAACATGTGTTCAAAAGCCCTAAAGTCACTAGGCTTTATTATTAGATGCAGCAGGAATTTTAAGGACATTGGTTGCATGCGAGTTTTATATTTTGCTTATGTTCGATCGAAGCTGGAGTATGCTAGTATAGTATGGTCACCGTTTACACAATGTCATATCCAGGCAGTGGAAAAAGTTCAGCGTCGTTTTCTAAAATACTTGGCATATAGGGAGGATGGTGTTTACCCAGCCAGAGGATCTCCTCATTCGGCACTTCTTTCAAGATTTGAGTTGGAGGATCTGAATACAAGACGAATAAAGGCTTTGTTAATCTTTCTTAAAAAGTTAATAAATTTTGATATTGACTGTTCTGATCTTCTCAGCAAATTATCGTTCTTCGTTCCTAGATCGTCTGCTCGTTCTCACCCCTGTTTTTATCTGCGAACACCTCGTCTTAATATAGAAAAATACTCTCCTATTTATGAGATGTGTAATCAATATAACCTACTTCAGAATTCCTTTGATATATTTAGATAAAAATAATAATATTTCTCCTCTTTCTGGCTCTCCCATTTCTCTTTCTACCTGTCCCTTTGTTTTTCTGCATACAATAGATAAATTTAATATTATACCTGCGTTTGAATTGCTTAACTATTCTTATCTGAGTAAAGCAGTAATTAATTAGCTGTTGATTATGTTTGCAATTTTATTGTTGGTCTGTAATTGGGTTCACACCTGTTGGCCAACATAACCAATAATAATAATATTAATAATAATAATAATGTCAATTTTTTCTTTGAATCGATATTAACGTGTGGAAAATATTAGCTCCATGTAATTTTGTTAGCTTTGCAATTCTTCTCATAATTTTAGCCTCAGTAATTTTCTTCGCTGTATAATTTAAATTGAATGTAAATTTTCATGCTCTGCAGTTCCTAACCTCACGTAATTTTTTTGTCTGCATAAATCTGATTTCACACCATACTTTTTTTGGTTTTTATAAATCTTTGCTAGTTTTTTGACCTCGTAAATATTTTGTTGATGAATGTTTTCATCATATAAATTGCCTGAGGTCCAATCTTAATCTCAGACAAGAATTCTTTGCTGTTTAAAAATTCGCGAGAGTGTATGGCGAGTTTAAATGTTGTTTATTGCTCTTTTGAAACTTAAACACTTATTCGGTTGTAGGTTAATATCAGAGTTATAGAAAGTGAACATTTAAAAGAGAATTGGGGTAAACTACACAGAAACACGTGGCAGAAGCGAAGGGCGCGGTTCCTAGTCGGGCTGGCAGCCAAGATTTATAACCACGAGATTGCCACCGTAACGGACTGTTAGCGCGGCACGTTTCTTCGTTAGATAGAGGGGTACTGGGCGGCATGTACTTGCCGATAGAATAAAATCACCGTCGTGGTGGGAGAACAGCCGCAACCTGGAGCCCCAAACTCGGCTCATGCTACAACACCACCTGTGGGTATTTGCTATGTTCTGAAATGAAAATGATATAGTTCGATTGCCACACTCTTATAACGACCTGGGTGCCTCCTCAACTATGGAGTCATAGGCATTCACAAGGAGGCGCTCTGCATGGAGTTTTATTAAAATTTAGTTCTCTTATTGACTGCCATAATTTTAATTCGCCTCCACACGTCTGTGATAACTTGAGTATTTGCATTCAGTTACTTTAATTCAGATTTTTTTTGTTTTTATAAAATTCATTCCAAGTTAGATAAGTTTTTTTTTGTAGCTGAGAACTAAGAGATCTTCAACCTGCGCAACTTAGTCACCGCTTTTTTTTTTCTTTTTTTTTTGTCTGTGGAGGAATAAACGTTTTGTGTCCTCCATATATTTTGTATTTTACTTATCGGTACTTTTCCAACCTTGGGGTCCATCACTTGCATCTGAACGCATTCCGCAATTGTTTAAAATGAATCGCATTCGACACTAGTGTAATTAATGAAAGGCCAGTTAATTAGCGATTTTCCAGTTTAAAATGTTGTGAAACTTTGTAGAATTCATCAATAAGTATGTGTTTTTTTTGTTTTATTGTACGCATTGTTTTAATACAATTTAACTAAAATAATCCCGTAAAAACACTATTCAGGCTTAACACATTTTGTTAAATATATCTAAAATCTAAATGTCTTTACTTAAGCTATCACATTATTCACACTTCAAAACTTCTCATTTGAGATTTATAATATAATAGTTCTTTTACTGCAAATAAACTACATAATTTCAAGGGTTGACCTATTTTGAGAGAAAGGACCTGGAGAATTATCATGAGTTAAATTATTATAATCGTTCCCTCAAAATAGCAGGTGCATTTTTTTAATCCTAATTATTTTCCCACACCTTGAATTTGAACATTTATTCTCGAATTATTACTATGATTTTGACAGCATTTAGTATGTACCTTGTTGTGTTTACTTCATATGTGTTTTGTGCTTTGTTTTATGTGTTACTGGAATTTATTGAGTCCACGACGATGTAGTATTGATGAATTAATTTTGGTTTTATCATTAATTTGAATTAATGCATAATTTGACCTCATTTTTCATTGAGTGTAACATAATTAAATTTTACTTGTTTCATTTCTTGTAATGTTGCTACTCAGTTTGCTATAGTCAAAATGTAGGAGATTTTAACTTTTACCCAAATTAACGCACAGGTTGCGTGACAGAAGCGGAATAACGGGACCACACACTCAGGCTTAGAATTTTTCTCTTTAACATTGTTCACGTGAATATTTATCTGCAAAGCCGGATTTCTCCGGTTTCAGTGAATCAGACCGTCTAGCTGGCTGCCGCCTTTGCGAGGAATGCGAGTGTTTAAACGCACATCGCTTGCTCTAGCCGTGGTTAGGGCAAACAGACCTTTACGAGATGACGCCCTTCGTACCGCTGTCACTATACGTTACCATGCTTTTCACTCATCGTTGTTTTTTCCTGTTTGATTGTTCATATTTAAATTTATTTCAAAGTATTAGTGTATTACCAACCACTTACTTTAATAACGATTTTTCTTTTTTTCTTTACGTGTTTAAATATTTGATGTTCAAAATTTGTATCAATTTGTAAGTTCCGTACAGCCTGGTTCAACAACTTTTCTCTCTCCAGAACAGAGGAATAAACTATTTTAGCTTACACTTAGGAAATAAAAATTCTCTAAAAGCGATTCACTGTTATTATTATTATATATTTTTGCTTTTCTCAAAACAACTGTCTGATATATTTGTATTTTCTTGATTAAAATGCTTGAAAATTCTTTAAGTAACAACTGGAAAGAGAAAATTAAAATTAGATGTTTTTTAAGATATTTTTGAAAGAAAAACTCCCCAGGGTGGTGATACACAGCGACAGCGGCTCAAAGGCTATTTTCTCATTAATGTCTGTTTGCATTAATCACAGCTACAACACCCTACGTGCGATTAAACACTCCCATTCCTGTGTCTTACCTCCATCCTAGCAAAGCAAGTAACTAGACGACCTGATTCACTGACGGTGAAAATCTGGCATTACAGATAAACATTCATATGAACAATGACAAGGCGAGAAAAACTCTCAATTTGAGTTTGTGGTTTCGTCACTCCGGCTCCTATTAAGTTCAAATTTCCTGAATTTTGACGATAACACAATAAATATTGTGATTAAGTACAAGGGAAGAAACAAGCAAACTCCAAATATGCTACATTCTATCAATAATTTTAAACAACAAAAAATAAATTATGTATTAATTCCAGTTATCGATTAAATCAAAATAAGTTCACAAAGACCACATCGTGGACAGAATTCCACTTTTTAATATGAGTCCATGATGATAATTTTCAAGGCCATTTTTTCCAAATGGATCAAGGAATAAGATTAGTTTACTTTAAATGCTATAATTGTGTGGAACGAGAACTGAGAAGTTAATGACGTGTGAATAATATAACAATTTCAATAAAAACTTCCAGAATTTTAAATACATTGTCACTAAAAATTGGAACGGTTAAAAATCCTACCATGAACAGTGAATTTAAAAATTATTCCGGTAGAAGGGACTGTCAAAATTTAAGATTTCTGCTTAGAAAATCGTTAATAATACTTAATAATTACTTAATATATTAATGATACCTGTTGAGGAGGTTTAAACTTAACCTCTGGTAAAATAAACTCTGTGCTATGTTCTCTCCATTCCAATCCATAAACTACCAACCTAATAGTGTGTACGTTGTGTATAACATTTCAACGACTTCACTTTAGGATTAACAAAACATAACAAAATATCATCAGTGATGCCAACCACACAGCGTATGTTATGCTCTCTTCCAACTCCAGAACTTTCTATTGTACGATATTCCTTGCAGTGTTAAAGATGTTGCCTATAACCAAGTTTTAATCCGTTTTAATCTATAAACCTAAATAATTAGCAACAGTATTAGTTTTTAGCTTACTCGTTAAGTGAAAATTTTGGGTTACAATTTATTACTTCATGAAGAGACAAAAACACTCAATAAGTTACAATTGTAATTAAAACTTTTCTAATTTTCACTTTGTAGATCTGACAGTGACTACGATTGGGGCTTAAGCCAACTGGACGCCATAATGGATCGTGTAGACATCACAGGATCCCATTTCTTGGTCCTGACTAACTTCGGAGACCATGCCCTTCACCACATGTTCCCTACTTTGGACCATGGTACTCTGGAACTCCTGTATCCAACACTGAAGAAAGTTTGTGAACAATTCAAGGTCGATTTAAGAATGACATCGCAGTGGGAACTTCTCAAGGGGTCTTTCTTGCAGGTGACGAGGACTCAACCAAACCCCAATCCACCAGATTTACTTAAAAAATATTAAAAAATAAAACCGATGCATAGTCAAATAGAAACCACAGTGTATAATTGGTTGCATATAGTTCTCAAGGTTTTATCGTAGTTTGAAATTAATATATGGGTACGAACTACCAGCTACTTTATCATGATAAAACTAGGTTAATTAAGTCTGAATGATAATGATACAGCATTCTTTAAAAAATCTAAATGTGCGTAGTCGTAAATGATTGCCATTGTAAGCTGGTTGCCTGAGATTTTGTTGCTTTATCGATGTGTTGTACAATAAACAAAAAAAGTTGCTATCTTGTGTCTTAATTATCGCAAAACTTGTTTAAAGGTTGTTGTTCAAAGATAACCGTTCAGTTTAAAAGTGGATCGATATCGAGATCGATAAGTGCTGGCTCGTGTTCAAACTGACAGTAAGTTACACAGTTATTTACGATATTACCATTATAATTTACTAAACTGGTTATAATTGCATATTTATTACAAAAAAAGTAGTCTGAAATCTTTCCACAGTTATTAAAACTGGATAAATCAGGTAGTTTAAAGTTCGGACGTCGTCGTCCAGTTGTTACGTCTGTCACTGATATTACACCGAAAATAAAAAATACTTTAATAGATGCATTCTTGGACCGCTTCCAATAAATATTAATACAGATTTAATCAAGTGACAAAATTGTCGGACTCGATTTTAGCGGATGAGATTATGATCCAGCTTCAAAATGAAAATTAAAGAACCTGGAAAGAATCCTTGACTCACTCCACCCGCCAGAACCTGTTTAGGCAATTCCTTTCATAATAATTAATAACATATCAACATGCATTTAAACGCTTTCTCCAGCTTATTAAAAAATGAACTGGTTTCCCGTTATCGAATAATTATAGTGGATTGATTACCACCAAAAACCACAGTCGGTTGTTGCCTGCCTCCAATTTCAAACAGTGAGTGCGTTTGTCCATTGTGAGATTATTTTAACGTTAAAATAACGCGTGAGTGGGTACCAAAATATTGTTTCTAAGTGCGTAGAAGTATAGACTTTGATGCTAATATTACACATCAGGTTAGAATAATAAGCAGTTGTGGGTAACGGAAGTACAGCTAATTGGTTGATGGTCATGTTTAATTGACTTTGACAAGTATCTGTCTGCTTCAAATCATAATTGCGCTTAAAATATTTTTTTGGTGGTTATTTATAAAAATTCAAAGAAAAGTCGACTTTGTGCTGCGAGTTTGATGAAAGATAGCTATTGCGGAAAAGTTTCAACGAAAGAGATATTTTTATGTATCACTGTTTTTATTCTTTTGTTTGCTGTATATTTTTTGTTGCTTTATTTGTGTCGCAGTTTGTTTTTGTACAACCACAACGTAGTTTCTTTGATTTTCTCTTAAAGTATTCAAATTTGCAACTTTTCTCACAGTATAATTTACCTCACATTCCTTCTGAAGCGTCCTCGATATCTATCTTATACATGCTGTGTATTCAACCACTCGGTAAATTTAAACCATGTGAAATGTTACAATACAATTTTTTTTGTTTTGCTGTTATTAAAATGAGCAGTCATATTTTACTAAACAAATGTTTTAATTATTTTGTGAAGTCAGGTGTGTAGTCGCTTATTTAACTTTAACTTTTAGTTTAACTAATTAAACTTCAGATAACAAAAATATGATCCCAAGTGCAGAAATTACGCAATCATAAAAGTTAAAAGTAATAATAATAAATCGACGTGACTCACTTCACTTACACATACACTGAAGGCGCCCAAATTAGAACAGGGTTATTGGAAGTGTCACTGTCAGAATTCCAATCTGATAAAAGCTCTGCATTATTAGTCTATATTAAAAAAAACAATTCTTGTGTTGTATGTACGTCATTTATATTTTTTTCAATAGTAACCTTATTCTGTTTTCTTATTATTTACATTGTTCGTTGTGACCAGTTGTGGACACTCGGGACCTTTTGGGTAGGTACTTCCATTTGCAACACCATGAGTAAGACGAATATTTGTGATAATCCGGACAAGATTTATTATCCAAGGAAATTTATGTTGCGATGGAAATACCACGAGCTGTGAAGCAACGAGTGGTATTTCCTTAGAGCAACATAAATCGAGTTTGCTAATAAAAGTCTGAATTATAAAAATAGTCATCCTATGAATTGTATTTTCCAAGACTACTATGTAATAAAGTTCTGAAACAAACAAACAAGAAATTATATCAATTTATTAAATGTATAAAAAGTAAAGTTGTAAATAAGTACAATTTATTATGATACACAATACTTTGCGAATTTTGAGAAATTGGTTCCTAGATGATATTTTTGTTTTTGTTATTTAATAGATTTCATTATAGAACTCGAATTTTGGTGCCTCATTGTCTTTACAGCTTTTTGTTCACCAGTTCCAGATTTTATTAGCAGGTTACCTGTTGAGTTAAAAAATTATTATTCTTATTTCAGGTATTTCTTGCCTCAGTCTCGAGATGTCTATTCTACGTTGGTTGTTGTTGCTAAATATCTCATTTTTAATTTTATATGTCTCCTTTTTTGCCAACTATTCCATACTTCTGTCTCTTTTTTTATGTCGTGCTTTTTTATATTCCCAATTATCATTGTTTTTGACTTGTCAGTATTGGATCTTGAGTTCCTTGATTCTTTCTAAATCCACTCCCAGTCTTGTTTCCAGATTTTATTTTTCTGATACACTTGTTATGACTCTGTAATTATTTTCTATACCTTTTTACTTCTCGAGCGTAAGCAAAGGAAGTATTGTGTTCGAGTCCGTCGGCCGACTCTCTACTTTTACATTTTCTCAACCTTTCATGACCCTTAGAAGACGAAGAAATAGGTCTCCCGTTTCCGTCTGTCTGTCCGTCTGTCTGTCTGTTTGTCAGTCTGTCTGCCATCCCGGATTTTTATTAGACAGATAATCTCCGAAATTACTGGACCGATTGTTGTGAAGCTTTGTATTTATATTAGGAATATCATGTAGACGGTAAAACTCTAACCAAAATTTGCCTAATCATCCCCACCAATAATGTGATGACGTCTTTTCAAAATTGTACGTGCAGGAGTTTATGACTCCGAATTGAGTTTTTACTTGAAACGTCCAGGTTTTTTGAAAAAAAAAAATATGAAACAACAATATATTTACTTGTCCCTTCCAAAAAATTGATGACGTCATCTCAAAAGTTTGCCGAATAAGTTCTATCTAAAATGTGTAAAGTATGATGAGTCAATACTTGTGATTTATCATTCCATTCATATTTTTTTAGATTTGCATTTGTTGCAGACGTGCATTTGTTTTCTTGCGCTAACCAGGTTCTGTGAATGTAGTATAGACAAATTATAATCAACCAATTGTGAATTACACCATCAAAAATTAAAACAAAATCCAATGTTTATATAATAAGCGGAAGTCGAAGCAATAAAAAAGTCTGGGTGACCATCGGTATTGTTTATAGTTTCTCTGTTTGACTCTCACGTGTACAATCTCAACAAGTGTTATTGCTTGTTGTCTTAAATTAAAAATGCTTATACATAAATGATTTTGAGTCTCCTCTGCGAATACACGCGGCATACGTGAGTAAACTGTTTCGTTATTTTATTGATTATAAATGAATATTCAAGACGACCCAATTCATTTTCCCGAAAATTTGGGAATACAGTACTTTTGTTTTTAGTATTACACTACATCTATCCAAACTGATATACGTGTCCTTACAAAAATGTTGATGACGTCATCAGATTTTTTTTTAATTGTCCCGCTACAAAAATGTAATGAGAAAAAACATAATAGGCATGAAGTCGTCATGTTTCCGACAGCGAGGGAAGTACTGTCTAAACTCTTTAGACCAATTTTTTAATTTGTAATAGTTCTTCATTTTCTTTTTTATTTAAATATTTAATCATTTTCACAGTAATTTCACACTTCTTTGTTGTTTTTCCCCGATATTATCCTGATTTTATTCTTTTTTGTTTGTTCTACTTTTATTGGGATTTTCTTTAACTATGTCATCCCAGCTTCATCTTGTACTTCGTCAAAATGCTCTAGCCATCTTTGCATAATCTTCTACTTTTATTAGTTAAGTATTCCATTTTTATGTTTCTGTTGACTTGTTGTTAAATATTTCTTCTGTTTATTTTTCTTTTTCATTGCCACAACTTTTATTTATCGTTCTATTATCATTTATTTTCTTTACTCTGTTTTTCAAATTTTCCTATCGTTCTTCTGTATTTGGTTCCAGACAACATTCCACAATTGATCTTTCCATTCTTCTTCTGTGTGTAATTCTTCTCCTTCTTCTTCTTCTTCTTCTATTCCTAACTCTACTATCAAAATCTCCCATATTTATCATTCTGTTGTTTTGTGTTTCATCTATTTGTTCGTAGGGTCTTTCGTAGACTCCACGTAGCCATATAATTATATCTCTTTTGTCCTATCAACAATTCCACTGTCATTATTTTGTTGACTAATGTATCTAACTTCTATATTATCTTTTATATCTTCCTTTTTTGTTAATATGACCACTCCTGCTTCTGCGCTTCTTCTGCTTATTTATCAATGTTTTATCTGTTGCTTCTTCTCTTTTTTTGTTTCTGTCACCTAGATTATCTTTTAAAATTCCATTTGATAATTCTACTTTTTCCACATTTTTAAATCCCTCAGGTTCCAAATATCCTTGATCTTTGCTTTCATCATCTTTATGTACCTCCTCGTAGTGTTTTAAAATAGTACTTTTCTTTCCTGTAGAATTATATTTTCCTATTATTTTCCTTTTCTTCTTATCCATCTATGGTAATCCGTTGGTAACCATTTTTTGATATTTTTCCTGAATCTCTCTGGTTTCCTGCTATTTCATTTATTTTTTCTTTTATCTTGATTCCATCTGTCCTTAGTTCGTTGTTTTTACCTTTTGTTTATGTTGGCAGTATCTAGATAGTTCCATCTTACCTGTTTTTGGTTCTAATTTTTATGCTTCCTTCACTTGGATTTCCAGTTATACATTCTCAAAAATTTTCCATTATCTTCTTCGGATCGCTTATATTTTCTGTTTTTTTTTATTTCTGTTGTTTTCTTCCTTTACCGCTTTTTTGTGTTTTATGAAATTTCAGTTTTTTGTCTTTCGTCAATTCTATTGTCATTTTTCTTTTTCTCTTTTCGTGGGCTTCTATTAATTCACTTACTTTTTTTAAAAGCGTCTTCTGGTTCCATAAATTTAATTTGTATATTGTTTACTTAATTTAGTTCACGTTTGATTTCTGATGTGCACTTTGACCGAACGTATACATATTTAGAAATTCCTTTGTATATGCTCTGTGAATATTTTCAGCATTTTTTTGAGGACTACTCTAAAATTATTTTTAACTATACAGAATGTTTTGTTTTTAAGGCGTAACACTATTTTTTTTTAATGAAACACCCTATATCTTTACATATTTTGATTGACCTCCTCTTAGGCTTTACAACCACAGTTTATTTTTGAAATTATTATGCGACGTTGCCACGTTCCAATTTTGTTGAAATTTTTAGATAATCGAAGGGTTCATCACATTTTGTAGAGAAATAAAGAAAGGTACCCGCTTTGTTGTAGTATAAATGAGATTCAGTTTGCATAACAGAGTGTTTACAAAAATATTTTAATTATTACAATCTTCAAATATCGACGTTTCAGTTTTTTCAAATAGTAGTATGAATTTATTATTTGTCTTACAGGCTTAATAATATTCCCAGTATGGGTACAAATTAACTTAATCTACATAATACAGATAAATCAATAAAATAAATAAAATAAAATAAATATTCGAGTTTTATGTAATAATTGTTTTATTCTTTCTGCTTGCCCACCCCTTGCCATAGTTCCCTTATCTTTCGTACTTGTTTCATCCAGTCTAGTCCTCTTCCATCCTCGTTTAGCACTTCTTCCCTACTTTCCTCCAATTCTCTCAATCCTTCACATCATTCCAGCATATACTCTATTGTTTCTCCCTCTCTCCAACATATCCTACAACTTCTGTCAGGTTCATCCATCCAAAAATTATTCTCTTTCTCTTCATTTCCACACCTAAAGCTCGCCATCATTCTTTTCTCCTTTATATTCTCTCTCTGTGTGTACTTTGGTACTTCATCCTTTACTACTTTTCTATACTCTGCATTATATCTAGACTCCGATGTTCTCAATCTGCGTTCTTGCTTATCTATATCGTTATCTCTTACACTCAGTTCTTCTTTCATATCCCTTCCCATTTCTCTCATTCTCTCTATTTCTTCACATGCATATCCCTTTCCTTCATAATACTTGCCTCTTTCCTGTCAAACATGTTTTCCCCCTTCCTTTCTTATTTATTTCTAACATTCTTGCGATATTTTGCAATCACCTCTCTCACTAAACTTCTCTTCAAATCAAACCGCTTTTTTACCCGCTTCCACTCTCATTTTCTCCCTTTTTGTTTCTTCGCTCACTATATACTTCGGCGTATACTTTTCCAAACCTAATGTCCATTTCAAGTATTTTTCTTGCACTCTCTCTATTTCTTCATATTCCCTCCATCCCCAAATCTCAGCTCCGTACATAAATACACTTTTGATCAAACTATCAAACATCATCATTCTTCTCTTAAAATCATGTTCAAATTTTCTCTCTCCTATTCCCTATCACTTTGTTCGCTTTTCAGACCAGTTCTTGAATATGCGTTCTATCTGAGTTATTGCTCTTTATATATCCTAAGTACTGGAATTCTTTCACCTGTTCAGTGTTCTTCCCTCTCCATGCCCACTCTTCTTTCTTACTTTTTTCCCAAACACCACGATTTTTGTTTTTTCAACATTCACTTCCAATTCCTTTTTTTTACATACTTCTCGAAACTTTTAATCACTGTTTTCATTTCTTCTCTTTTCTTTGCCACAATCACCAAATTATCTGCGTACGCCAACGAGCACATTTTCTCTTTGCCCACTACCACCCCTCCTGTCTGTGCTTTTCTGAACATTTCATCTATATCTCCTAGATAAGCTGCAAACAATGCGGGGCTGAGGGGGCATACCTGTCTCACTCCTCTATTTGTATAAAAACTTTCGCTCTCTATTCCATTTACTCTCGCCTTACTTACTGTTTCTTCATATATTTCTTCCATCTACTCCCTTTCTCCTCAAATACTCCCACATTTTCTCTCTATTCACGCTATCAAACGCTGCTTTGAAATCTATGAACAATGCGTACATTCGTCCACCCTCTCTCCTTATTTCTCTTCCCAGTAAATGCCGCAGGATGTACACATTGTACATAGTACCTCTTCCTTTCCTAAACCCTTCCTGACCGTCTGGTAACATACCCCTTGCTTTCATCTCCTTTCGTAACCTCTCATCTGTATGATTGCGTATATCTTGTACGCCGTATTGAGCAAGGTGATCCCTGGGTAGTTCTTCACATCACTTTTTTGTCCCTTTTTAAATAATGAGATTATTATACCTTCTCTACACTGTCGAGGAAACCCTTTTCCCTTCTAAACTCCATCTACCACTTCCCATATCCTTTCTTTCACTCCTTCTGTCCCGAACATCCACGCTTCGTTCTGGATTCGATCCCCTCCTGGTGCCTTTCCTTTTTTCAGTCTTTCAATCCGTCTTCCTATTTCATCTTCTGTTATTTCCGAATACCTCTCCACATTTCTTCCGTCGTTGTGATTCCTTTATTTATTTTGCAGCATTTTTCCTCACAACCTCCCAATAATTCTATAAAGTGTCTTTTCCATTCATGTATTTTAATTTTCCTAGTGACTTCAGTCTTCCCTCTTCGTTCTTTGTTTATATATCTCCATACTTCTTCTTTTGTTTTTAGGGACTTTATTGTCTTCTCTTCTTCTTCTCGCTTTTCTCTTTTTCTTTCTTCCCATTTTTTCCTATAATTGTCTCTTGCTTTTAGGTACTCTTCTTTCTTTCCCTTGTTATTCTTCCATTTTCTTAAATTTTCCCTTGCTTTTCTCTTCAACTCACTACATTCTCCGTTCCATCCATTATTGCTCCCTTGCCATATGTATGTCTTCCTTTTTTCCGTAGCTTCTACAATTAGGTTGCTCAGTTCTGCTATCATAACTTCTATGTCTTCTTTCACTTCGAATTTCTTTTTTTTTAGTCTACTTCTGTATCTTTGAATTTCCTCTTCATCCCATATTCTTTTTCCTATTTCTTTTCTTTCGTTTCTTCTCTCATGTTTTTCGTAATCTTGCTCTTTTCCTTTGATTTTTATTTCTAGTGGTATATGGTCTGATTCTACCCTTTCCCCCACTTTGAAGCTCTCTATTTCTTCCCACTCCTCTTCGTTAACAATCCCATAGTTTATAATTGATTCTCCCTTAGCTCCTACGTACGTCCATTCTCCTTCTTCATCTCCTTCTTTGTTTCCATTCAAAATTTCCCATCCCATTTCTTCTCTTATCTGCCACAATATTTTCCCTTCTTTGTTATTTGCTTTATCTTTTGATCCTCTTTTCTCTCCCTTTTCTTTATTTATTATTCTTGTTCCCTTATCGCCCACAGTTTTTTCAAATGGAACACCGTATATTTTATTACTGCATCTTATTTATCATATTAGTGGTCTGTTTGTCTGTTTGATAAAACTAAAATAGGAGCTTTAGATTTTTTATAAACACTCTGTATATATATTTTTTTTAATTGCTAGCACAACAAAACGCTTATCTTTGTTTATTCTTCCACAAAATATTGCATAACAGAATTTAAAAAGAAGTTTCAATTTTTTTGTGAACCCTTCGAACGCAAAAAAAACTGATTGTAGAGGCTAAGAAAATGTCAGTCGAAATATGTAGGGTGTTTAATTGAAAAAAACTAAGTTGTGCTTTAAAAACAGAACATTCTTTCTGTATAGTTAAAAGTAATTTTAGAATATAGTCCTTAAAGAACCGTACAACTTTGATCTTTGACTTTTTTCTCTCTCCAATATAATTAATGAGATAATGAGACCCCCGTGCGCTGTATATCGAGTGATGTTTTAAATGTCTGCTCTAGTTGGCCCTGACGTGAATTTAAAAAATCACCCGGTATTAAGTAGTAGTGAATGCAAGCTGAACTAAACATGAACTCTTGGACTTAGTCTTATCTCTGAAAAATCTTTCGGCTTGCATGAAGTTCTTACATAAACGTGACGCATAAAATGCATACGAAAACTTGAACTTCGTTGTTTCTCCGAAAAATCTTTCGGCTTGCCTGAAGTTCTTACACAAAAGTGACGCATTAAATTCATACAGAAACAAAAGAAAATGCAAACAAAAGAGGTTTTTTTTACTAAAATTATTTGTTTAATTTGTTATGCAATCTGGTTCTTTCCAGATTGTAAGTTGAAGCCGTGGTATAGTCAGTATGTTTTAATTACTAACTAGTAAACAAACACACCATAATCTTTATTTGTATACATATCTGTAATTAAACAGACCATAAGATACATATGATACAGATCTATAATAAATATTAGAAGTTTTTGTAGCAAAAATCTAAAATTAGGAGAAAATTAGAAGTTTGTGAGACATGCGTTGCAAAAATGGCAGTGGACGATGTTGTTGGAAATTCTTCCCGGAATTCATTCCAAGCCGCTTGAATTGAGTACTCCCACACACCGTTTACCTTTCGTCCATTTCCAAAATACGACCTAATCATTCAATCAAAAATGTTTGCTGCTCTAATCGGAATGGCACTTAAATTAATACACAAAAGAACTTCTGAAAATCACTGTTTTTAATGTTAAAAAAGGGACGTTGTTAAATTCAGGACGAGATTGATTAATAAATTGACGCAAAGTTTTATAGTAATAATAGATTTAGCACGTTATCGTAACCTTCCCAGGTTCCGGTTTCAACTGTTTTAAATTTCTAAATTCATGATTCAATTTTAATTAATTCCGGAACGAGTCTACCACATTATCCGTCGTTGCCCCACGGTGATCACATTTTAATTCGATCAAAATCCTTGACAAACTTGTTTTGTAGGAACCCGCAGTTGTTTGTTGACGTTATCGTCTTTAAAAATTCCCCTACAAGGTACAAGGTGTTAGGTACAAGGTGTTCATGTGGTTTGTAAGTTTAATCGTGCAAGTGTATACAACGTATCCTAATATAAAATCTAGGTGAGTAGTAAAACATTTGGATTCTCCTCGACGATTTTGAAACGTGCGTGCGCTTGGCCAAAATAAATTTGGTGATTAATTGACACAAACATTTCCAATTTATTTTTATTTGCTTCTCGTGTACACATTTATAAAAAGACAGACTTAAGTTGAAGTAGGTTTGCATGGCTAGCCTACACTATTTCGGCTTTTCCGTAACGAAATTGGCACGAAGAATTTTAAAGGAAAATTCGAGTAAAACACTGGAGTAAATAATATTTACGAAATAGCTGTGAGGACGATAAACTTTATGAAAAAAATCAATTAGCGAATAATGAATAGTGCAAACTGTTTGGTTTTATTTAATTACAACTGTTGTTAAAACGGATAACGTTTGACTTTTTTTAACGTGAATAAAATTATATAAGCTTCTGGTTTTGTTTATTTGGAATTTACCATTCAGCGTTTACATTCGTAAACAAAATCAGTTTATAATAAATTCTTGACAATTTAATATGTTTTTACGAAATTTTGCTAAATAAACACCTTCGGCTATTTTGAATAAATAGAGCCGTGTCTGGTGAGGCTTTTAAAAAAGAAAAAATAAGTGACTCGATTTTCGGAAACATGAAAATATTTAAATAAAGACAACTGATTTCGGAGGTAATATTTTTTGTTTATATTTATTACTGATTTACATGAAACAAGTGGTAATAAAGAATGTTTAAGTAAACTTATTTAAACACCGAAAACTGCATACAATTTCCAGGGAAACACCATTTTAAAATAATTTTGTTGAAGGTCAATATACATACATATATCAGTCTTACCGTGTTTATAATCACAGGTATGTTTCGACGCACATATAAATAAGTACAATAAAGTCCACTCCAAGTTTTTTGCATAATAAAATAGACTAAATACATTTTGTCGAAAGTGTAACAGTAACGTGTATATAAAAATATAATTTTACAGCTTGGTTTAGAACTTTGGTCGGGTGGAAATTCGTTAGTGATACATTTGCACATAAATTTAAATAAACAAAACAAAGTCGTAAAGAATTAAAATTTGTTTTCAAAACTGTTCTTACATTTTCTTTATCTTCGTGTAGTTGTTTAAGCAATTCGAGACAAATTTGGGAGATTTTTCAATTTAGTGTGCTGTTGGAAACAAATCTTTCTATCCTTTGTTGAGATCCTGTCGTTAATATTGCAAAATAAAGTTTAAATAACATTTTTCTAAAAATTAATCATTTTCATACTGCAACTCTTGCAACTTAACAGTTACCTTCATTGTTCAGCAAGTTTTATGATCTAATTTTGTAAAAACATTGCGATGAAGAGTGTAACTTAGTACGCAGTTAAATATGCAAAACACGCATATGCAAATACTTAATATGAATGTCCAATAAAACAAATGACATTTTTAATTATTTGTTGCTAAAGTCCAGGCCTTGTAACGTTTATTTGCAATATAAGAAGTCAAGTCATAACTAAATTAAGTATGTAAAAAAATGCTGTTTACACAGTATTTGTATTTTTTTTGTTATAATTTTTATTAAACCAATTGATTAAATGTTTTTCAAAATTTTACATTAGAAATTATTGCTTGTAATACGGATTAAGTAAGAAAACTAATTTTTTTAAATAAAGTTTTGTACATGTACGTAGTAGCATCTGATGACACTAATATGATTTTTTCAACCGGAACTGGTTCCGGAAGAAAAAAGTTCATTAAACCTTCATGAATAAATCTTGCAATGGTATTATTATTTATCTTTTCCAAAGCTTTTCTGCCAATCAAATATGAAGTGTCACTTTTTTCACTGGTCAAAGTTCCAATTAACAAATTTGCGACGTAACGTCCACATGAATCGGTTGTTTCAGCGACATACTAAATTAGATAACTTGATGAATAGCCTGCTTTGCTTTTTGAAACACTTTGTCCACGTAGTTTTTTGGTACTCCCATCGGGACGTGACTTTATAGTACGCTTTTTAAGAAATAATAATAACAAGGTATTTAGTTAGCTAAAGCTACAATTTGTACATAGGAGCTTAATACTATTTAAGTAACTATACTATACATAAAATGAACACAAGAAGGCAATAATAAGGGATGAATGTATCCTAATAGTATATTAAAGAACGAGTTTCATAAGGCAAATATTGAGGCACGAATCCAAGTTTATAGAACGACCGACGAAGCCGCGAGTTATATAAAGGATGAGTGCCTCAATGGCCTTATGAACGAGTTATTTATACTATTTTTTCTACCGCACACGTTTTTTCCCAAAAATTTAATTGAAATTTGCATTTTTTTTAATCTGGGGACTTTTGTCGTGGTTGGTGATGGGTCGGTCTGACACTAACCACGAAATATTTGAGGTTCGAATTTTCATAACAACAATTGTAATTCGAACCAATTCGAGTTTTTGCAATTTAAAATTGGTTAAAATGTCTTGCGAAGAAGTTACGCGTCCGGAAACATGGGAAATTTTAAGTTTAGATTTGCCACTGACATTCACCTGACATTTCTCGTCATTGCTACCAATCTTACCGATCTAAATTACACCAGATCTATTAAAGAACGCCTTTCCGCTATTAACGAACTGCTGTGACGTCATTTGCGTGCGTTAATAGCTCTATTAGAAAATCAAAAAACGTGGGCGGTAGAAAAATATATATAAAATAAAGAAATAAAGAATTATATTGTAAATTATTACTAAAAATATTAATTAGTTTAAACAAAGTTTATAACTATTAATTTCCTCGAAGGATTTGTTGTATAGTAATTCCCTTACCTGAGACGCTTGAAATTGTTTAAAGTTGGTTGGTCTGGTAACGTGTTATATAGTCTCATGCCCTTGTAAAACAATGAATTTATTGAAGACTGTTTGGTTTTTGACGTTAGATACAAATTTCCTTTTTATCTCGTATTATAGCTATGTTTTGCCTTCATATTTTGATTTTTGTTGTTCAAATACTCAGGTCCCATATGATTAATTAATTTATGTACTAAAAATAAGGTCTGCAGTTTAATGATATCAGATACATCCAACCACTCCAAGACTCTCCTCATGTCAGATATTCTTGCAAGCTTTCCATGTCCGTTTGGCATAGGAGATACAAAATGGTCGGGCAATACATAAAATGTGGTAATACAATCGTTTGGTATATTGTTAAGGAACTAAACATCGACAGTTCATTCCTGATTCGTATTAAAAAATCCATTTTTTTTTGTCAATTTAATTAATGCTCTCTGAATTTCAACTCATCGTCTGTTTGTATTCCTAAATATTTAATTATTTTA